GAATAGTAGTGATTGTATCTCCACTCAGCATGGGAGTGAAATAATTATCTTTTTATACTATGTGATGGGACAGATTATGGAAAGTCAGAAGTATCTTAACACTGAACTGTAAGTTTTACTATTAAGAATGCCTGATAATAAACTTGATCTGAATGAAATTCATAAGCGTGGATTTAACTGCATGCCCCAGCAAGCCTACAACGCTCAAGGCAGAACACTAAAAAGATGCTGATGTTTTTGCTCCCCTTGAGTAAAAAGGATGTTGAATCCCAGACTCTGTTTGCATTTTAACTGAGAACAGCTGCCAGGATTTCCCCCTTCCCCTCTTGGAGCAAAGAGAAACATCCTTGTCAGTGAGAAAAGCTGACGAACTCTCCTGAGATGAAAGACTTTGTTGTGATTAAGAAAATGTGCTAGAAGGGGGCCAGGAGTTTCTTGAGAAAAGCAGCCTCTACAACGTAGCTGGCTCAATCTGTTCTGAAAAGCCTGTTTTTGTTTGTGAAAGAATGCTTACAGGCTAGACCAGTGATGGCAAACCTTTTTTGGCTCGCGTGGCAAATGTGTCGGGGTGCAGGGGGGGGGCGCAGGCATATCACACCCATAATGCAATGCATGACCCCAGCGTGCATGCTTTTTTTGCCCTCCCCAGGCTCCAGAGGCTTTATAGGACAGCCTCCGGAGGCTTTAAGAGCTTCTCTGAAGCCTCTGGAGAGCAAACAAATGGCCCTACAGGCAAACCAGGTTCAAGAACGGACTTCTGGTTTGCTTGTAGGGCCGGTTTTAGTCCTCTGGAGCCTTCAGAGGCCTTCCAGAGACTTCCCTGAAGGCTCTGGAGGGCAAAAAATGACCCTACGAGCAAACCAGAAGTCACTTCCGGTTTGTCCGAAGGGCCGTTTTTAGTCCTCCAGAGCCCTCAAGGACCTTCAGGACGCTTCCCTGAAGGCTCCGGAGGGCAAAAAACGGCCCTACAGACAAACCGGAGACTAGCAGTTTGCTCTTAGGGTTGTTTTTTGCCCTCCAAGAAGGCCCTTGAAGGCTCCAGAGGGCTAAAACCAGCCCTACGAGCAAACCGGAAGTCTGTTCTCAAACTTCAGGGAAGCTCCTGAAGCCTCCAGAGATCCTCTGGAGGAGCGGGTGGGGGCTGTTTTCACCCTCCCCAGGATCCTATAAAGCCTCTGGAGCCTGGGGAGGGCGAAAAATTGCCTCAAAAGAAGGCTGAAGTCAGCTGGGCAGCGCGAGTATTCACATTAGCCAGCTGACAGGGCAATGCCTTGCATGCTCTGACAAATGGCTCCATGTGCCACTTGTAGCACGCGTGCCAAAGGTTCACCATCCCGGGACTAGACTCTTGTTTCTCCTCTGATATACTGAAAAAGCAGATCCTGCAGAGTTAAAAAACATGTTTCCTCTCTCTCCCTGTTTGAAAGCAAGATCAACTTTGTTTCCATCTAATTTAACACCAGGGGAGGGGACCCAGGAATCACATGATAAAGCAGCACCCCCAACCTATCCAGTCCAATCTGCTGTTGTTAAGGCCAAACACATGTGGCTTAAGCAGCCTAACAAAGAAAGAGAAACCTGTTTCAGTAAATCAGAGCAAATTCCAAGCCTTACTCCTTAAGTGTTGTAAAAGCCTCATGGAAAGGTCTCCATGTAAACAGAATTTGAATAGGTAAGAGGTCAGCTAGCCCAGATCTGACCTTCCAAGTTCTTTGAACTTTATTGATAATTTGTCCTGGCAACGAGGGACAATAAAGAGGCCCCAACCATCCCAGCATCAGCTTACTTTGTGTGTGCAAAGCCATCTGGCAGTCAAATGGTCACAAGACAGATGCAGTCCAGCTGAAAGGCCAGCAAGTTATGATCTTGCTGATTTTTTACTATTGATTATGAATTATTGGGAAAAGGCACAACCCCTTTAGGAGGTACCAAGCTAGCAAGGTCCAAGATGCGTTCCAAGTCTGGATAAAGACCCTTAGGAATTCAAAAATGGAGAGTTAGCTTTACAAACCTCAGCAAGGAAAACTCCATTACCAATCACTCTAAACATTAGTCACAAATAGCACCCTCTGGTGGCTCCCCTACAAACTGCAGTCCAGTATTTCAAGCTAACGCATGCAACGCACCCTAGTGGCCAACAAGCAGTCTGAGCCTGCATCTACAAAGTTTTGCAACGCATCCTAGTGGCCGACAAGAGGACTGCACCTACATCTACATAGTCTTCCAATGCACCCTAGTGGCTGACAAGTGAACTGCACTTGGATCTACAATGTTTTGCAATGCACCCTAGTGGCTGACAAGTCCGCCCAAAACCAACCCGATCTCGAGTGGGCACTAGCATCTCACAGCAATCTTCCTGTTACAGCCAGATGTCATGGGCATCTAGAGCTGCAGAAGCACAAATGGAAGCTGAGATAGCCCAGGCAGATCTAAAGGCAGCAAGGGAAGGGCAGCTGCTGAAGGAAAAGATGGCAACCGTGGAAGCAGAGAAAGTTCTACGCGAAGCCAAAGCTCGGGAAGAGGAAGCAACTGTGAATCTACATAATGCCAAAGCTCAGGCAAAGAGGGCAGCCACGGAAGCCAAAGTTCAGAAAGAGGAAACAGCTGTGAACCTACATAATGCCAAAGCTGAGCCAGAGAGGGCAGCCGCAGAAGCCATTCGGGAAGAGGAAGCAGCTGCAAACCTACGTAATGCCAAATCTCAGGCTCAGCTGTAATATTTTCAGCGGAAGCAGGAAGCGAAAGAAAAAATGATATGGGCCAAAGCTCTACAGACGAAGGCTAATTACATCTCCCTCAACTTCAGTCCTAGGAAGCTGGAAAAAGATAACCCGCACAAGCATGTTAAAGCCTACATGGATGATCCAAGCCCACCACAACAGGAACAAGGAGGAGAATCTCAAAGCAATTTGAGCATGGGCGTATGGCCCACAGAACAGAGTTTGCAGACTCTGAGTCACCACAACGGACAACTCCTAACCCTCATCCAGCCAAAGTGCCTCAGCGTAGTACCAAAGCGCACCCAGAAGTGGCTGCAAGTGTCAATTGCACATCAGTATGTGGTGACTCACCATCCCCACACTTATACCAACCAATCTGCTTAACGAAAGCCTACCCCAACAGATGCCCAGAAGAAGCCAGGAAGATACATGAGATAGTAGATGTGCAAAGCTATTGCACATCAGCCAATTCTGCACTCGTCGGTCTCATTGACATCCAAAGTGAAGAATATAATGATATCAACACGCACTGGGCCCCAGCGCACGGCAGGGAGGAAAGTTGATGGACTCTGCATAGAATTGTTGGATGGGAGTGGACAGTTCCCAATGTCGCCATTACTAGAATGGGATGATCCACCAGATTATTGCAGTCAGATTGCAACACCAGACTTAGCAAGCACCACACCTCACCTGAAGCACATGGCCAATCACTTTCCTGCTCTGGATCTCAAAGCCGAAATCCTGCTCTTGCCGGGAGCAGGCACCTCCAATGCTCTCACACCCCCTCCCCCAAGAAGTGGTCAAAAGCCCAAGAGGCTCCCCATTTACCCTCAAGACGGAACTTGGAAGGGGCATCTTTGGGATGGCTTGTGTTGATCGGCTGCAGGTCCCAACCCGGGCGAATGTCTTTGCAACTTCCACTCTCTTTAATGGAAGAACATTCCACTTGAAACCTTGCCAAGAACACTTCACGACTTCCTCAATTAAACCAGTTTTTGGAGCAACAGTGTTCCAGACCAGCAAAGAAGACAATGATTTGGCCTTGTTGATAGAGGACAAAGAATTTCTGAGACTCATGAACAAGGGATTTCAACAGGATGCTACCAAGAATTGAGTTTCTTCACAACCCTTTCGCATACCAAGGCAACGGCTTCCAAACAACCATGAGCATGCTCTCTCTCACCTCTTCAGTCTGAGATGACTCATGAAAAAGTAGCATGCAGTGAAAGCTCATTTAGTGGAGTTCATGGACAAGATGGTCCAGAACAGACATGCAAAACTTGCTCCACCTCTGAGAAACAGTGAGGAATGCTGGTACCTGCCATCCTTTGGAATGTATCACCCACAAAAGCCAGGCCAGATTCGAGTAGCCTTCGATGCCAGCATGCAATTCAGAGGCCTCTCTCTGAACAAGGTCCTTCTCACAGGACCTGACCTCACCAACAATCTGCTCAGCAGGCTCATTCGCTTCAGAAAGAAAGCCATAGCCATCATGGCCAACATCCAGCAGATGTTCTACTCATTCCTTGTCAGAGAAGACCATCAAAACTACCTATGTTTCATGTGGTCCAGTGTCAAATAGTACAATCAACAGAAGCAAGAATGGGAGATGTGGCGTGCCTCCTTGAGTTATCTCCAAAATGTTCCTTTGCAGCGAATGTACGTTCCCATCTCGCCTGTTGCTGCAGTGAAGGCAACAGTGGGGAGAATGACATTCACATCAGTTTCATCACGGGGAAAGGTTAAACTAGCACCACAATTACCCCTCAACCATTCCCAAGAATGCTCACTTCAAACACTTCTCCAGACCGAGACCTCTCGTGTTGGGCTTAGCAATGATCATCCTCACCACCCTCATGACAGAGGTGGCAGCTATCATCAACGCTTGATCTTTGAGCCCAGTTTCTTCAGATCCTGAAAACCCAACTATCCTCATCCCAGCCACCTTGCTGACCCAGAAGACAGGTGACTGGCTACCACCAGCAGGGACATGTATTGGAACTTGTGGCCTAAAGGATTTGTGTCCACTGGAACTCATAGCCTATGGGACTTGTGCACCATGTCCTACCCAGTGATGATGGACTAGTTCGCCAGGTGGAAGTTCAAGTCACAAACCTGCTGGAGTCATCTTGTGACCAGCAGACTTTCACCAAGAAGCTCTACACCAGACCAATCACCGACCTGCTGCTAAGGAAGACCAAACTAGAAAATTGAACCTCAAGCTTTGCATGCTTTGTGTTTACCTCACTGTTTACATTGTTTGATGCTATGCCTTTGTGTAACTCAGTTAATTAGTTAGTTAAGTTTGTATGTTTGGTGTTATGGCTCTGTTTATCTTAGTTAATTAGATAATCAAGTTTGCATTGTTTTATGCCATGCCTTTATTTGCCTGTAGTTAAAAGTTAGTTGATAGTGGAATTTATAATTCCAGGCTGGGGAGTGTGCTGCCCCAGCAGTATACAGCCAGAAGTATATAGCTAGTGTAGGAATTAAGAATCACCTTGAAAATGGCGGACTTTTTTCTTTGTTTCAGATACTATGGACAAGCGTTCTACTAGTTGCACCTTGGAGCCTATCTGACAAAAAGAATGATAAAATGTAGTCTTTTCTTCCTACACCTCCCAACAACAGTCTAACAATGAATGGAAGTTATTAAAACAAGGGAGGGTCAAGGGACAACTGTAAAAAAAAAGTGTTTCAATGGAAATTTTGTTCAAAGAAGAAATGGTATTTCTGAACTTTTTAATGCAGTATATTTGAGAAAATTATACTAATGTATACCAACTGTAAAATTATAAAACTGCAATAGGAAATTATAGCAATAATGTGAGATGATCTCCTTTCTTGTACCGCAGGAAAAAAAGTCTATATAGTTAACACATTCAGTGATTTTCCCCACCTTTCTTGCAGTTTTTCCACACAATTTTTCGTGTCTTCTCAAAATGTCTGTTCATCCAAATAAGAAGAATTATTTCAGATGAAGAATATATATTACTTGACAAAAGATTGGTGCTTATTTTTGGAAGGTGTTCTGCATCTTCTGCATTGGTGTGGCTAGTGTCCTCAAGAACAGAGATTCGCTGGAGAATCAGAATCTGAAACAACAAGCTATATTGCTTTTTACCAATAATTAGTTGTACATTATGTAAAATCCTACTAAATGAACTTTAATATTTTAATATTTCTACTTATGCAGCAATTGAATTTTCTAACTAGTAATGCTACTATAAGAATGTTTTACATTTCATATTTACCTTCGCTGAATGCCACACATAGACTTATGGGTTCCTATCAGTGTTAAAAACAAACTCAGGTAAATGAAAGCTCATGTTTTTGAAAGAGAAAATTGATTCTTTGCTACAATAGTGATACAATACAATCTACAAACTATGTCTATTGAAGGTATAATTTTTCCATTCTTATCCTAAACCAAAAATGATTTCAGTAGTACTATACTGGTAGTATAGTGGTAGTACTATACCATGGTAGTACTATAATAGGATGGACCCTGCATTGTTTACAGTAAATTCCATTCTTCTCCCCCCCATCAACCCAGTTATAGCAAACCAAATCTTTATCATTACCTTTTAATCTTTCAGTATTGGATTTAAGATTAGGGGCTACCAAATCTGAGCTGTGGCAATCTAAATAACCACTAGTATTCCAGTCATCTTGAAGAAGAGTATTCAATTATTATTTCTTATTTAGCTCCCAAACTCACAGTACTTTTTAGATTTCATTTTTATATTTTATAAATATAAAAATGGTACAAATTACCAACTACAAAACCTAGACCAGTGGTTTGTAAGTTTGTAAGTTTGATTTTATTTATAGGCTGCCCAATCCCGAAGGACTCCGGGCGGCTTACAGAAGGGAAGAGAAAGAAAATAAAAGAAAGTAAAAATAAAATAAGACAAGTTAAAATGACACAAATACATTCATTTCAATCAGGGCTGGACCTCAACAATGAGCCAGGTCTTGACAGCTTTTCTGAAGGCCATGAGAGTGGGTGAAGTCCGGATTTCAGGGGGTAGTTTGTTCCAAAGGGTTGGGGCAGCCACAGAGAAGACTCTCCTCCGGAGAGCCGCCAGCCGACATTGTCTGGCTAATGGCATCTGAAGGAGGCCAACCCTGTGCGATCTCACCGGCCACTGGGAGGAGTGTGGCAGTAGGCGGTCTTGCAGGTATGCTGGTCCTAAGCCATGTCGGGCTTTAAAGGTAATAACAACACCTTGAATTGCGTCCGGAGACCAATGGGTAGCCAGTGCAGCTCGCGGAGGATAGGTGTAACCTAGGTACACCCCATATCGCTTGCGCAGCTGCATTCTGGACTAGTTGCAGTCTCCGAACACTTTTCAAGGGTAGCCCCATGTAGAAC